CCCTTTATTGTGTCAAGTGCTGTGCACACTGTTGGTGCCGTATAAATCCTGTATAATAATCTCTGCAATCTCTGATAAATATGCTTATACATCTGTAAGCATGCATGGACTTCGCAGGAAAATATCTTGCTCATCAATCTGTTTGATAAATGTTCTAATATTTATACGGCTCTCTTTTATAAACTCTGGTTACGTCAGTCTATGATGTGGATTGTAAGACATGCTTCTTTCTTTGTTCTGCAATACTTTTTTTCTAATGTCCCTGGCTCCTCCTAGGAGGATCACCTCCTCTACCTGTCCACTCCAGCCCCACACAACAATCATTTATCTATTATCATTATTACAACCCCAATTCCAAAAAAACTGTGACTGTGTTTAGTCTACATAAACACATAATTAAATGATCTGCACATCTCATAAAGTTATATTTGATTCACAATAGAAAACATATCAAATGTTTACACTGAGAAATTGGACCATATTAAGAAAAAAAATAATGTAATTTTGAAATTGATGGAAACAATATGTTTCAAAAAAAGTAAGAGGTACTAAAAAGGAAGAGCCGAAAAAAAACATTTTTGCAGCAAATTAGGTTAATTGGCAACAGGTCAGTAACATGATTGGGTATAAAAAGAGCATCTTAGAGAGTCAGAGTGTCTCAGAAGTAAAGATGGGCAGAAGTGTCTAAAAATTGTCAAACAATTTCAGAATATTGTTCCTCAACATAAAATTGCAAATACAGATAATCCTCGCTTAACCACTTACCTGCTTTGTGACCACTCGCACTTACGACCGTCCTCCGAGCGACCTCCGACCTTGCGCGTCAGTGTCAGTGCGACGTCCTCCGATCTACACGGCGGGTCCCGGTAAGTATTTTCATTGCCCGATGTACAGTACACTGTTTGATACTGTACATCTGCAACGCTATACAGTACTGTACTAATGCAGTACAGTACTGTATGGAGTTCCTCACATAACAGCCAATTCGTTTAACGACCTGGTCGTGGGAACGGAACTCGGTCGTTAAGTGAGGAATACCTGTACATTAAATATATAATCATCTATAGTACATAATATCATCAAAAGATTCTGAGAATCTGGAGAAATCTCTGTGCGCAAAGGACAAGGTCGAAATGCAATATTGGATGACCGTGATCTTCAGGCCCTCAGATGACACTGCATTAAAAACAGTTATGATTGTGTGATGGACATCACTGCATGGGCACAGGAATACTTCCAAAAATCACTGTCTGTGAACGCAGTTCACCGTGCCATCCAAAAATGCAAGTTAAAGCTCTATCATGCAAAGAAGAAGCCATACCTGAACATGATCCAGAAGCGCTGCCGACTTCCCAGGGCCAACGGTCTGTTGCAAAGTGGAAAACTGTTCTGTGGTCATACAAATCGAAATTTTACATTCTTTTTCGCAACCATGGGCGCTATATCCTCCGGACTGAAGAGGAGAGCGACCTTCCGGCTTGTTATGAGCGCTCAGTTCGAAAACATACATCTCTGATGGTATGGGGTTGCATTACTGCGTATGGAATGGGCAGCTTGCACATCAGGAAAGGCACCATCAATGCTGAAAGATATATCATATATTTTGAGACGTGTTGCCGCCATCAATTTCAAAATGACCTTATTTTTTCTTAAAATGGTCCATTTTCTCAGTTTAAGCATTTGATATATTTTCTATTTTTTATTGTGAATATAATATGGGTTTATGAGAGTTTTAAATCATTGCATTCTGTTATCATGTAGATTTTACACAGCGTCCCAACTTTTTTGGAATTGGGGTTGTATTTTATACAGGATTTATCTCCTGTGCAGCGCTTTACAATTTAAGGAAGACATTACTGTTACAATACAAGTTAAGACTAGATGGTAAAGAGGGCCCTGCCTATGAGAGCTTACAGTCTAAATTTAATGAAGGAATAAAGTATCAGAGTGATGAATGAACTGCATTTTGGACTGTGACAGGTCCTCTTTAATATTGCATGGTTTTCTACAGATGGGATATGTGAATAGACCAGATGACAGCTTAGTATAAGACTTTGGCCTCCAGCTTTGTGTTTGCTCATGTTCTCATGGACTGCTCTGTTTAAATGTTACCTCAATGCCTTTAATCTCTGGGAGCCATTGCGTATGACTGACAGTTAGCGTACAAAAGATGAGCATTCTTGCTAACTCTATTGTGTTCTGGGGATGTGACTGCTGAGTGTGTGTTTTGATCTGTGAACAGGCAAAATATAGAAATAGGTGGGTATGTGATGGATACATAAAATGAATTAGTAGTATAGATAGGACACACTGGAATATACAATGTTATTAAAGAACTCTGGACAGAAATCGGATTAACCCTTGCAAACCCAATACAAATTGGCAATCTACACGTGAGATTGTAGTCTATCATGGGAGCTACTTAAAGTAGTCACCCTCCAGAGGGAAGGACAGTGTCACCGTGAATTCAGAGATGATTTGAGGATCTACAGTTGAGCGATACACAAATACGGTACATTTTGTTAATAGTTAGGGTACTAAGATGCATTTCACGATTTAACTCCTGAGTTTAGTGCCACTTTAAAATCTGAGGGGCTTCTTTCTCCTGAAGTGACAAAAATGCAGTGATGTGCAATAACCTAGGACAACCAATCACAAATCAGCTTATACCGTTTTATAAAAGTTATGCTGGTAAAGATTATTTCCCATTGGCTGCTATGATTGCTACAGATTGCACATAATGCAGTTCTTACTGTATATACAAATATTTTATTTAAATAACAGAAACAAAAACTAGAATAAAAGTGGGTTCTGTTTTTGTTCTCTATAAAAATGTAAAACAAAAATTCTGATTGGTCAATATGAGCAAAACATGTTTATTTTTTCCAGTAACCTTTTCTAAACTTTTTAATATAAATACCCATCTAATGGTTAAGAAATATTGTAACTTATGTAGGACAAAAAGTAAAACTTATTTTTTATTATTTCAGGATACAGCGGGGCAGGAGAGATATCGCACTATTACAACGGCATACTACCGAGGAGCAATGGGGTTTATTTTAATGTATGACATCACCAATGAAGAATCATTCAATGCAGTACAGGACTGGTAAGTTTGCTAAATCCATCTGTAAATGTATTTTGGTGGCTTGTGACACATTCTGTCTTAAGTGCTATTCAAATGAGTGTTTCCCTCTGACACACAGAGGATTATTTATTACAAAGTGTTTTTTCACTAGCCTGTTCTAGAATAACTTATAAATCAGAAGAATAGAAGAAAATCACCAGCACTCAGTACATCTAGGTCACTCACTCAATAAACTTACAGAAACTGTACATTTAGCACAATGCTAAGTTGTGAGTATGACCTAAAACCAGCAAACTTACTTGTATGGTCGTGATTAGGCCATAACGCCACTTCATAAATGAGCCTACTAGTATCTAGAGCTGCAACAACTAATCGATTACATTGATTAAAATCGATAATGAGAATCGTTGGCAACGATTCTCATCATCGACTAGTTGATTTTCGATTAGTTGCCACCATTCTACTCCCCGCTTGTGCTGGTTGCAGCAGTCTGTGTCCCTTTCAATTCCCGCTGCTCTCCCCGCCTGTGTCAGCAGAGGCAGCAGGGACACAGAACGCTGCAGCCGGCACCAGCGGGGAGAGGAGAGCCCTGTGAATACATTCCCCCCAATAGCAGGCTGGGAGCCATTCCCAGCCTGCCATTGGATATTTTAAAATGCAATAGCCAATAGCAGACTGGCTATTGGAACCACCCACTGCCTGCTGTCCATCAGCATGGGAGGACCTAAAGGAGAAGTTTTTCCTTCAGGTCCCTCCACTGCTGATTGACAGCAGGCAGTGGGCAGACGCAATAGCCAGCCTGCTATTGGCTATTGCTATTTGAAATATCCAATTTAAATAAATTAAATGTAAAATGCAAACAAATAAAAAATAAATAAAGTTTAATAAACTAATATAAAAATAAAAAAAATTATAATTTTGGTGTGTAATTTTAAATAAAAGGTTTTTTTTTTTTTATTATATTGGCTTAGTTTTACAATTCGCATTATTTTAAATCCGTTAAACTAATTAAAATGTCTAATATAATACATGCAATTATTAAAAAGATAATTTTTTTAATTTTATCCGATTAATTGAAGTTAATAATCGGCAAACTAATCGATTATGAAAATAATCGTTACCTGCAGCCCTACTAGTATCCTACTGGACATTTCTTGGCTGTCAGGTCTTCATGGGTAAGCTGAAGAAGAAGGAAGTCAGATGTTGTTAATTTTTTCTGCTTTCATCTTTAGACTCCTATTGAAGCTCACAGTTATCACTAGGCTGCACAAAAGAAGGGACACATGTGGTTGTATTAGATGTGCACTGAAATTAAATGTTAAAAATTGAAACAAAACCAAAAATATTTTATTTTTATTTATTTCTTTTTATTAAATATTTTTATTTTTTACTTTACTGTTGGGGGCTTCGGGAAAATATTGGGGGTCTAAACAGATCCCTGATATTTCCCTGTATAAATGGAACAGGAAGCCTCTTTACGGAGTGCTCTTGTCCATTCATAAGCTGGACACAGTACACATACTCTGTCCTCAATTATGTACAAACACTCAGCGATCACTGATCACTGACTGCTTGTACCTGCTCTCTATCCTCAGTCGCTGTCACAGGAGGCTAAGCGAGCAGTGTGGGGTGGAGAGCTCAATCTCCTCTCCCAGAAGCTGTCCCGAAACCACTCTACTAATCTGTCCCAGGAGGCCAAGCAGTGCGGTGTCTCTCCTCCCCGCTGGACGCTGCACTGTATCAGAGGTGTGCCATTTGCAGCCTCCAGTTATAAATACACTAAGGCATGGTCCACACCTGTGCGTAGCAGGAACACGTGTCCTGTTCGCGCACATTTGTGTGCCGCATTTGGCACATGTAGAATTTTTCGTGTCACGTGCTTGCCGTGGTTTGCTTTTGCGTTTGTGCGTGTTTTTACGCGTGCAAACGCAGAGCAAAAACACGTGTCTTGCTGGGCATGTTTGTATATGCATGCTTTAGCACGTGTTCAGGGAACGTACAGGTGTGAACTAGGCCTACTAATACTGGCCTAACTATTACTACTATCATTTGTGTTTTGTTAAATCTTTTTGTGTTTAAATTAAAAAAGAAAACATTTTTCCAAGACAGTATTGCTAAAAAAAACACATTGTTTTTCTTGAAAATATATTTTACATTGTTATCTTAAATGATGGTTATTAGTGAATCCATAGACCTTTAGCGGAGTTAAAGAAATTGCTTTGGTCCATAAGTTGTATACAGGCTCAGGAGCTGAAGTAGTTAAACTGTTCAATTTACAAACACATACATTGAAATGAGATGGAATTGTTATGTTTTCACAATAAAGTAACCGTGTCACTGTATAAAGCATGCTTAATTAAGATATGGCTATGAGAGAGCATGTACTTACCTCTCCTGCTACCCACACCGCTCAGATCCTGACAATTGGTCCCTGAAGTCAGCTGGGAAACCGACACTTTAAGGAATGGAGATCTCTGTGGTCCTCACAGTTCCCGCTGGTTCCTCCTGCTGCCCCCATGCTTTACAGGTCACATTAGTGATCCGTCATACTCTTCTTTTGACCTCCCTAATCATTGGATCCAAACCATTATGAAGATTTCTATCTTCTTCAACTCCCTCAAATAACTGGAGGCTCTTATTTTTAAAGAAGGCTCAAAATGGCACTAGACATAGTATAGGATTTGAATTACAGCTTTCCAAGAAGGACTGAAACTGTTCTGAAGGGAAGGGGCAGCTACACTTATTAGGTTCTATAAGTGTCGGTAAACCCAATGTTTTATATGGTGTCATTACATGTAAATGTGTGGTCTCTACATTGCGGCACTTTCTTTCCCTCATCCATGTGATCAGTGTTACACATTTCATCCAACTTTTTACTGGACTTGTTCTGAGTAGCAACGGTATAGTGGTCAAACCTTTGTATCCTCTCTTGCTCTGCTATATCCCAGAGAGGAAGATGTTCACTTCCTCTATTCTGCTGTGGAAACCGCCCCATACTCTTTATCAGCTTGGGAGGATCCAACATGTTGGCTGACATTTCATTAACACACGTGACCGCAACACGCCAATTGGCTCTGTGCTACAACAAGTAAACAAGATAGATTTCCTGCAGTTTGCAGGTAGCGCCTGAGGCTGGCTACTTGCTATGCCTATCCATCTCACAGAACAAGGGCCAGAATACATCTGACCTTACTGTACAGAGAGTTAGTTGTTGTGTCTTTACTGTTAATATTCACTTCACTTTAATATTAATACAGCTAGCAAATGTGTGTCCATTCATAAACAATTGAATTGAGGCCACATTTTTTTCTACCCCTGAGTGATTCATAACACAATGGTAGGAAGGGAGAATGGTAACTGCTTATGATCCAATGGGGGCATAAAGGAAGCAGAGTGAAAGCTGATCATGCCCGTGGATATAGGGTAGAAAGGAGGGCCAGGTGATCATGGAAAATTAAACGAGAGGCAGAGTAGGAACTGTCGAGCGAGGAAAGAGAGAGGAGGCAGGGAATGAGCTAATCAAGAAAAATGGGGAGTGAAGATGAGGTGGGGGAAGTAGAAGTGGTAAGAAGTGATCGTGGATTGAAATCCAACAAGACAGGGTGGGCAGCACAGGGCAAGATGATTGTGGCTGAGGGGGAAGGTGGAATGGCAGGAGCTGATTGCAGACACAGAAGAAAGGAGATAAAGTGAGAACTGAGGGCTGGAAAGGAAAGAGGAGTGAGAGCTGATTGTGCTCCATCGGGAGGTTGGTCAAGTCAAGGATTAAGGTGTGCGAAATAGAGGAGGAAAGGAAAAACATGATTATGGACTGCATAGAGGGTAATATATGCACTGTTATTTCCCCCTTCTGGAAGAGGAATGGTGATTCATACCTACCTACTGTGATTGCCAGCCAGGGTCCTATCCTTCCTTACAGGCCTAGCAGCGCCCTTACCCCCTGATTATACATTCAGACAGAGTCCTACTAATTATCTACTACAGAACTAAGTTCATTATTCTGAATAAACAATTATATCTCGAAGCGCAAAATTTGACTTGGGGGCTGCTCTATGCTCCATCATCATTCACCTAGCAGGTTTTGCTAATTTAGAAAAATGTAAAATATCTGACATACTGTATTTTATTTTGCATTGTTTTGCGACTTTTAAATGCCCATTACTGATGTATTGTCAAACAAAGGGTAGGGTGGGTTTAAATGAGCCAATTAAAAGGACAAGTCAAAAGAACTGGGATTTTCCAAGCCTTTCAAAGAAAGCCAAGCTGATCTAATATTTGTAACAGAAAGTAAATACATAGGTCAATGTTCTGCATCTTTCTCGATGATAATATTGAGAGAGACAGTTTCCATGGAAACCAGGGCTTGTCTTTCTCAGAATCTATGATACATCTGATGTATTCTTTGTGCAGATCTGTCTGGTTCTCATCCTAACCCAGTCATCACCTCCATAACACGCTCAGTGCTGGTAAATGTGCTTAGTACACTACGGAAAATGCTGTTATTAAATCAACTACATATTCAACTTTTTAAAAGTTTTTACAGTTTGCTATAACTGTTTTTTTTTCTTTCTCCACTGAGGAGAATAAATTGAACTTATTTAGCACATAATGTCAATTTCAAAACCTTTAAAGTGCACCTATGCCCAGACTTTATGCATTAAAGCTAAAATTCATCCTGAGCCCAGACTGTCTTGGACCTGCCACCAGGGGTGGCATCACCATGTAGGCTGAGCTCAGAATGTCACTCATGTCAATAGAAGAGGAAGGGCCTGTGACATCTCCAAACCAGCCATACCAGCATGGAAAAAGAGGTCTACCATTTTCTCAATCTGTCTCACTACTACTATTGCCTTGCTGTACAACAGTTTTAATATCCCCCACACAGAGGCATCCTGGTCAATCCTGCTTATGCCCTTTTCCTCCCCCTCGAGCCATGATCTGCACCCCACTTTATAGATGTGACACGTAGACTCCAGATGTGACAGGGTGAATATCTATTGCTGCCGTATACCTTTAAAAGG